GACTGCTCCATCTACGGCATGCCGGCCTGCGGGCTGCGAGGAGGGGCTGGTCAGAGGAGGAAAAGGTGTCCATACCTCTACCCTTTCGCCCGTTTTCCTCTATTTGGGCCTCCTGGGAGGCCCTCGTCGCCACCGCTGGATTCGCCTCGAAATCCTGGTCAGAACGCGCCCTGGGAGAGGTCCGGGGAGTACTTAGCGGTATCGGTACCTTTTGGTTTCCCCAGTTGGGAGGGGGGAATTCGCGAGCGACGAGCGCACGTATCCGTTCCATCCCCCTGCCCGCGCGGTCTGGGCATTGAGGCGACCCATGGATGCGCGATGCCATGGGTATACGTTCCGTTCGGGGCATCGCGCAGAGCCGCCCTGTATGCATGGGGTCGCGGCCGAGGGGTGCAGACTGTGAGGCCGTTGGTGTGGATCATTACGTTTCCCGCCCGCGACAGATAGTCACGGTTGTGCTTGCCCCATCGTGCGAGCAGCCTTACATGAGAGATGCCCTCAGAGGTGTCGGAGGGAGGTGGGGAGGGAGGGAGGCGGGGATGGGGAGGAGCAGGAAAATTCCAATTGTTGTCTGAGCCTTTTCTAGACAGATCTCATTCAGGTCCCAGTTGTGTTCGCATGATGTCTGGGGGTTCTTCACGGCTCGAGGATTCTCGCAGAGGATGACCATGGGAGGGAGGATGCAGGATAGAGGGATGGGCGATGGGGAGGGAGGTAGGAGGAGGGGGATGAGGTGGGAGAAGAAGAGAGGAGAGATTTGAGGGGCAGGTGCAGGCGGGAGAGGCGAGGAGGTCGGAAAGACTTGATCACCAGGGGGTGACGAAGGATACAGACAAGATGGAGGAGGGAGGAGCACGGAGCACAGAAGAGGGAGGGCAGGGTCCATTTCGATCCGATTCGATTCCGAGTCCAGTCGGCCCCATCCGATTCGATTTGAGTATTCCGACGATCCACAGCGCTCCGATGCTTGCATGGCGTAGCTGCGCATCCTGACATGGCCGATCCGACTGGTGACTCCATGCGGCCTGCTGTTCCGACGTACATTCCAAGTCGATCCGATGTTCTGTCAGGATGCCGATTGATCTTGGAGGAGGAGGGGGAGGAGGAGGAGGAGCCAGAGAGGAGTTGGGATAAAGAGGAGACGTCTTCCCCTCCTCCCACCTCCAGTCTAACCTCGGTCCCTCCCTGCTCCCTCCTCCCTCCTCCCTCCTTCCTCCCTCCTCCCTCCTCCCTCCTCCCTCATCCTTCCTCCTCCCGTCTCCCTCCTCCTCCCTCCTCCCTCCTCCCACCTCCCCCCTCCCCAGAACTCGCACCCAACATGGCTCACCCAGAAATCGCGACGGTATCACGTCTCAGTGATCACCGCGAGGGCAGCGTGGGGGGATTCAGAAGGGTCCCTGAGGGGTCCAGAAGTCTATCTCTCGCCCTCGGCGTAAGCCTGCGGACGCAGCACGAGGGCGGCTTTGCCGGCAGAAGCGGGCGGAATGCCAGCGGAAGCCAGCGGACGCAAATCTTGCCTCCGCAAGTAGCGCCAACATTCCTGTATTCCGCGTCAGGGGTTCCGGACTCCGGAGAGGATGGGGCCATGTGGATCGCCCGCGCGTTTCCGAACGTGGGTCCGAGTTTGAAGTCGCATCGGCTGCGTGCTGATACAGTGGGGGCCCATGCCAAGAAACACCCTGCTTGCCTCCAGGATGCCCTGGGTTTCTTGGGTTTCGACAGTTTTGCGATGGACCGCGTGACGTTCCCACGCCAAATAATCTAGGGACGTCCTGGGGTCTCAGGTTTGAGTTTCTCGTGGAAGGGTTCTTGTGGTCGGCTCCCTACTGTACGCACTTTGTCCCCAAGGAGCACAGAAGCGATGATCTGACGGCTCCGAGGCTGCAGTAACTACCGCGCTGGCGAGAACTCGTGTCCGAGTTTGAAGTCGCATCGGCTGCGTGCTGAGACGCACGTTGTCCCCAAGGAGCACCGAAGCGCTGGTCTGGCGGCTCCGAGGCTGCAGTAACTGCCGCGCAGAGGCAAGAGGACGGGCAGAGTCGAAGAGCCGCACGGGCGGGTGGCAAGCCAGCAAGCCAGGGTTAGATTTAAGTCGGGCCTGCCCCTCTACATGAGGAGTGTTCAAGCCAGTCAAACAATCATCAGGGGATGATGTTTCGATTATGTTTAATTCTTCTTGAGGATGCTGTGAATATGTGTATTGTTCTTTCATACTCCGCCTGTAAAAGGACATGCCCGACCTAAGGTTAGGCGGACAACGGGATGCATACCACGTGTAGCAAGGAAGGGCGGAAGCCATAGCAAAGCTGTTGCACAACATCTGGCCACGTGGAATATCAAACCTCGAAGACTTGAGGCAGTGTTTAGGTCTGGAACTGAACAGTTTGTGGTACTCGGTGGGTGCATTAGCCAAGTCTTCAACATGATCAAGGACATAAGCGAGCAATGATTTCAACAGCCACTACACTCAACCGAATCGTGCCAACTCCTCTCAGGTGAATCCTTTTTTGTGTGGATTGCGGTACTCATCGAAGGATGTGCCCCACACTCGGACAGGAAGCGCAACACCGTCCAGCTTCAGAAACAGAATCGAAGTCATGGTTGCGGTAGTTGTCAGCTGCAACAGGTGGCTCATGTTCGGCGGCGAGCGAGGGGGGGAAGCGAGAAGGAGAAGGCCTTCTCAGAAGGTTCGGAAGCCCCCCAGCCTCCTGAGAAAATTTCTAGGCCTCCCCCGAGGACAAACAAAACCCTCTCAGGAGGCGCGAGGGCTCCTGAGAAGTCCCGCCGCCTGCTGAGAAGTTCAGGCATTCTCCTTCTCGCTTCCCCCCCTCGCTCGCCGCCGACATGTGCTGCCACACACACGCACACACACACACACACACACACGCACGCACGCACACACACACACACACACGCACGCGCACGCGCACGCGCACGCGCACGCGCACGCGCACGCGCACGCGCACGCGCACGCGCACGCGCACGCACACGCACACGCACACGCACACACACACACACACACACACACACACACACACACACACACACACACACACACACACACACACACACACACACACACACACACACACACACACACACACACACACACACACACACACACGCCTGCCTGCCGCTTCTCGACGGGCCTCTCGCCCTCGAGAGGGTCGAAGGCGCGTGCGGGCTTCGGCGGAGGGTGAGACGACGATGGCGGCCCCGCAGGCAGAAGCTGGCGGAAGGCCAGCGGAAGCCGGCGGGTACTCCGACCCCATCTAGAAGGCCTCTATAGGACAACGGATCGAGGGGAAAGGAGAAGACAGGGGAGGGGTGGGGAAGGGCAAGGGAGAACGAGACGTCACGAGAGCGGATGGGGTATTGGGGCGGGGGGAGCCCTGAGTGGAGGAGGCGATGGCATGGCGGGGCATGCCAGGGCAGCTTGAATGGGATCACGGCGGCGGGGATTCGACGACACGTAAGAGTGACCTTTCGAAGGAGTGTCATGTGGTGCGGGCCCACTGGGGTTCACCCGATCGCTGAACGCGTTGCGCTTGCAGCGGCTTGCGCGTTCGGGTTTGCTACAGGCTCTTTTGGTCACCCTTGCGTGTAGCGGAGGTGTTTGCCAGTGCTTCGGCCCAGCCCATTGCAAGCCAGGTCATCAAGGTGTGGGAGTCCAAGAATTGCATTTTCCTCAAGCGGTCCATGGCCGGGGGCTACGCCGACCTGGAGACCGGCATTGCAAGCACGTTGATGAGAGAGAGAGAGGGAGAAGAGGGGCAGAAAGGACAACGGCAGGGAGTTTGGTAGGAGAGGGTGGTGGGGATACTAGGGTTGAGATGGGTGTGTGGGAGGTGAACGACAATGTGTAGGGGGGGGCGCTGGCTTGATTGATGGATGATGTGCACTATCGGCCTGGTCAGCTTGCGCGGAGATCTTTGCCGTGAGTAGTGGTACAGTTTCGGCTTGCGCGAGCTCTGTCATGGTGAGCGCCGCGCGTAAAGTAGGGTACGGCAGGTTCGTGCCGAGCCGGCGTGGCGGCGACCCCGGCGCGGGCGTTCGCCGCCAGTGGCCCAGCATCGGCAGACATGGAGCCCTCTGGCGATCGCACAGCAGCCGATCGCTCCAGGCGGAACGATCCGCGTGGTGCCAGGCACCCGCGCCCGGCGTCGCCACGACGCGGACGTGCCGCAGAGGACCGAGCGAGGGGAGCTGGCGGAGGCGGGCGGCCCCAGGGCCCCCGCTTCTCCGGCGGGCGCCCCTGCACCCGCGAGCGCCGTGCCCGCCCGGCCGCCTCCGCCCCTCGCTCCGTCGCCGTAAATTAAGTCGGGCCTGTCCCCCTACAGGGGGAAGATTCAAGAATAGTCAAAAAATAGTCAGGGGATGATTCTTTTTGTGTTCGTTGACCATTTGGGAGTCTACTTTGGGTATTTTATGGTTTTTCGTCGCAAATCCACCTGTAGGGGGACACGCCCGACTTCATCCTCGCCCCAGGAGAACCCGGTGTTCTTCCTCGAGCAGACGCAGATGCTCCTGGGCGACGGGAAGAAGAGCTGCGAGGAGATCGCCGCCGCGCTCCGCAGGTAGGCCGCCGCGCGGCGCCGCCCGCGCGGGGGGCGCTGCTTGGGTGCCTCGCGCGGAGAGGCGGGCGGTCCGCCGGCCGGTGGCGGCGTGGAGCGCTGCGACCTGGCCGAGGGCACGCCTGCGGCGGCCCGGGGCCGCTGCCGCTGGTTTTAGTGCCTCTCCCTTCTCGACGGCTTCTTTCTGTTGCATCTTCGGGGGACCTCGCCTGTCCCCAAAATTGGTGTCTTGTTGGGGGCCCGACGCGGGCTCGATGCGGACTCGACGCGGATTTGGCATGGATTCGACGCGGATTCGACACGGATTCGACACGGATCCGACGCGTCCGACATGAATTCGACACGCATTCGACGCGGGCAGGGCCGCGACGGGACAGACAAGGTCCCCCGAGGATGCAACATAAGGCTGCTCTCTCCGTCGCGCCTCCAGGCGTATCGTCACGGCGAGCCCGGCGTGCCGCGCGAGCGTCCCGGCCGCGAGTGCGGTTCCCGAGGCTCGGCGTGTCCAGAAGCCACGTGGATGGAGGCGGGGTGGTTTTCAAATTTGGTGCTCTCGCCTTGGCGCCATGCACGCTCCCTTTAAATAGTTCCCGCAGCTATACGGATGGAGGGCGAAGCGTTCTCAAAATGTGGTTCTCGCTCTTGCGCCGTGCAAGTTCGTCTTTACAACGATGAGCGGTTATACACGAATGGATCGCGGCTCCTTTTCATCGTGAGGGCTCACGCTGGAGACGTCAGCAAGTGTTTTTGCCAGGACAGGAAAAGATTTGCAAAACCGTCATGTATGGAGGGCGGTCCTATTCTCAAATGGGATGATCGCTTGAGTTTCCGTTGGAGTGTAAGACGGGAAATCATAGTTGACCGTCTTGAAGTCGTCAAGTCCATTGTGCGCGCAAACATCCCACACACCCACCCGCAACTGTTTGGCAGAACCCAGCTGGCCGACGACATCGTCGATGACGACTATGCTGGTGATGTTGAAGACGACAATGAGGACGATGTCGACGACGACGGCGGTGGCGATGGTCACGAAGCTGATGCTGATGAAAACGACGAGGGAACGATGAGGCTGGCGATGATGATGACGATGGTGCTGATGATGATACTGACAAGTTGCCCGCACGCAGACAGTTGACGAGGGCGTCTACATCGACGATGACGATGACGGTGGCGGCGCTGCTGCTGCTGCTGATGCTGTTGCTGATGATGATGATGATGATGATGATGATGATGATGGTGGTGGTGCCGTTGATGATGCTGACGTTGGTGTTGATGATGCTGATGACGATGGCAAGATTGTTGGTGGCGATGCTGATAACACTTGTGTTGATGCAGTGATGAGCACGTGCGCGCCCGCAGAAATCAAATTATCCTCGCATATGTTTATTGAGAACCATGGGGTCGTCGTACGTGTTTGATCACATCTGTGTTGAAATGGTGAGAGAGACTTTGGTTTAGTAACGACTTTGGCGTTCGCGCGCTGCGGGCGCACGCGTGTGGCGCGCAAGGCATTATGTGACATAATTGGTGGGTCCAAGATGATTTGTTTTATCATTATGTTTCGACATTCGCGCGCAAGTTGTCCGCATGGTCTGGCTTGACAGGAAAGCTCACAACCTGTCTGGTTTCCTTCAGATTCCTGCGAGTGCGCGCGCAGCATGTTTTGAATATGTCTAACATTTACTCGTTGTGATAGTTCTTGGTTGGCCATGTCTTGACACCGTTGACCATCTTATGGCCTTTGACTGGCTTGACGGGCGCGTGCGGCGGCGCGTGTGTGTGTGTGTGTGTGTATGTGTGTGCGTTGCCCGTAGTGCATCCGTTCGTAATTGGGTTCTTCGTAACAGCACGCCTTAGATCAACGCATGTGCACCGCAGTGCCTTATCAGGGACGACCAGGGGGGGTCGATGCCGGTCTGGATGGGATGGCATGACTGCACAAGGAAAGCGAGAGCGATGAGGCAGAAGCATGTGTGCATTGCAATGCCCCGGGGGGGGGGGGGGGGAAGCCCGGCCTCGGGATGGGGGAGGAGTCTTGCCTCGTTCAGGAAGGGTCGTGTGAGCCTGGGCTGCAATTACTCGGGTGGTGGTGGATTGCTTTCCACAGCGTGGGTGCCGCTTGACATCCCTTGGACCTCTCCGACCCCGCCTTGCCGAATTCCTCACACCTCGAGGGGCGGAGAGGGTCGCCCCCTTCCGAGACGGACCTCTCCCGCTGGAGCGTCGGGGCCGTGGGGCGCTCGTCGTCCGAGGTCGCGCAGTGAAGACGTCGTGCTGCAAGCTGCTGGTTTTGGGGGGGGGAGGGGGTGTGTGGCATCATCGTTGACACGTTTCGGGCTTGCTCTGGTCCCTCGCTGGTCTCTCTGGCGCCCCACAGTCCCCTGCCGCGAAGTCCAGACTTTGGGCGCGCGCCCGTCCGCACGTGGAGACACCCGTGCGTCCACTCTTCCTCTCCATCGTTCCCGTGGCTTCTGCTGGGCACTCTCGCTGTGCCGAGCCCTCGCCGTGGGCGAGCAGGTGCGACGCCCCTCCCCAAACTTACTCGGGTTGTGTCTGTCATGCGAGGTCTTCCTTCTGCCTTTGCCCCTCAGTGAGAGTAGGTTGCGGAGCCGGAGTTCCCAGCTGGCCACGTCAATAGTGTTACGTTGGTCCAAGGGAGCAACTTCGCGCTTCGGCGGCGCAGCAAGCTGGAACTGTTTTGTAGTGCAGCTGGCTGGCAGCGCAGTTTTCTTTCCGCGCAGTTTAAGTCCAATGATCTTGTGTCTGTTCCGCATCAGAGCTCACGGCCCAGTTTGGTCTGGACAAGTGGCGGCCGCCCGCGCCGTTGCCGCTTCCACTCGCATTGGGTCGTGCATTGTGCAAGTCACACAGCACCGCCGACGCGTTCCCCTGCAGTGTTGGGTAACTTATCCTGCTGCCTGCAACAAGCACAGCCACCGCACACGCGCAGCATCGCGACATGCGTGCAGGATGGCTCTACCGAGCCACCCTGAAGAGGCCCGCTAGATTCATCTCAGGGCCGTCTCGGGCCGTCGTTGGGGGTTCTCGGGCTGTTTAGAGGCCCCCTTGGGGCGGCCCCTGGGCCCGACAAGAGGCATGGAGCGCCGAGAGCATCCACCCAGAACCGAGGCCCGCCCTGGGCCCGCAACGCTGCAAGAATGCAACTTCTGCGGCCGTCGTCGTCGTCGTCGTCGTCGTCGTCGTCGTCGTCGTCGTCGTCGTCGTCGTCGTCGGTCGAATACAGCAGATTTGGTTGGGGGGCGGTCCAGGGCGGCGCCTTGTAGGCGGCTCAGTGGTGGGCAGGAGGAGCCTGCCCTGCTTCTGCCACCAGGGCCCTGGATCCGCTCACACGCCGCCCGTCGACATGCGACGCCGTGCTCTTTTCGCAGCGTGGCCCCCCCCCCCCCCCCCCCTCCCAGCACTCGGGGGCCTCTTGTCGGGGACCCGCTCTGCATCCTGTTGCGAGTTTTGCGCACGGCCCCGGGGCCCAGCGAGGGCCCCCCGTAGGAGGCCGACCACTGTCAGAAGCCCTCCGCCGCGAATCTTCCCACGACGCGAGGATGTTGGGCGCGAGCTCCACGGCGCGAGAATCTCCGGATCCCAGGGCCTGGCAGGGGTGGCGCAGCCGCAGGCCCCGAGGGCCCTCGCCAGGCCCCGAGGCCGCCCACGGAACGCCGCCGCGAGGCGGTCTCGGCCCTGGGCCCCGGAGGCACGCCGTGCCGGCGCGGGGCCGTCCTGGTCCCGTGGCCTGGCAAGGCTTCGGCCACGCGCACAGGGGGGGGGGGGGGGGGGGCAGGGGCAGAGGGGGAGGGCTCATGAGAAGGAGGCGGCGCGGGCCTCCGCTCTGCAGATGCACGGCCCGCGCCACCCGAGGAGCGGGCCTCCTGCCAGGAAGCCTTCCCCCCCCCCCCTCCCCCCCGCTTGCCCCCCTGTGCGCGCCGCCAGAAGAGCGACCGGGTCTGGGGCACGAGTGGCTGCAGCTCTTCGCGGCGCCAGGCTTGGGCCCTCGGGCCTTCCCCCCCCCCCGAACTCAGCGAGGTGCCGGGCGCTGTGCCCGCCTTGGAGCGCAGCTCGTGCAGTGCTCCACGCGTCCGTGCCAGCACGCTGCGAGTGGGCTCCGCGTAGGGGCCCGCGCGTGTCGCGCCAGGCCTGCGTCCTCGGTCTGCGTGTTGAGCTCTGCGCGCCGCCAAGGGATGGCGCAGCCGCCGGCCTGGCGGGCCCGGCCCGGCCTGCACGCGGTGCCGGGGGCCGGACGGTGGGCGGCCTCTCGGGCCGAGCATGTTCTTTGGGTGGGGGGCGAAGGGTGACATTTGAGATGCCGCTTCGATGGACTCTCGAGGCTTCAGTCTGGCAAAAGGTGAAGCACAAGGCGGATTGGTTATCGAGGTGCAAAAGCCCAGTTGGATTCCACCCTGAGCCCTCCACCCTAAGAAAATGCTCAGTCGGGGCGGAGGGCCCGCCGAGGCCGCCGCCCGCCGCGCCGCCGCCGCGGAGGCTCTCGGGCGCTGCGGCGCTGCTGCTGCGCAGCGGCGCGCGCAGTAGCGCCGCAGCGCCGACGGCACGCCGGGGGGGCCGATGGCGCGCGGCGGCGGTGGTGGCGGCGTCCGCCAGCGGAGGCCCGCCGCACTTCGGGAGCCGCACTTCGGGTGCGGCGGCGAGGAGGAGGAGGAGGAGGAGGAGGAGGAGGAAGAGGAGGAGGAGGAGGAGGAGGAGGGGAGGAGGTGGCGCTTCCTCGGGCGCTGCGGCGCTGCTGCTGCGCAGCGGCGCGCGCAGTAGCGCCGCAGCGCCGACGAACGGGGGGGGGCCGACGGCGCGCGGCGGCGGTGGTGGCGGCGTCCGCCAGCGGAGGCCCGCCGCACTTCGGGAGCCGCACTTCGGGTGCGGCGGCGAGGAGGAGGAGGAGAGGAGGAGGAGGAGGAGGAGGAGGAGGAGGGAGGAGGAGGAGGAGGCGGCGCTTCCTCGGGCGCTGCGGCGCTGCTGCTGCGCAGCGGCGCGCGCAGTAG